AACTACCATGACCTCACGGCATGTCATAGTCGACTTCTTCCACAATACTTACCTTCTTCACTACCCTCATGTCTGCCTCTTTTTCATATGTGAATAATTATTCTGCTCCCCCTTTCCACTTTTTGCGACTTCGGTGTTCCTCCCATCTGTGAAGCCCGAATGACAACAACCCATATTAATCTCCAGCTCTATCAAATCCATTCGATTAGAAGTCATACATTCAAATTAGGTATCTTTTATTAATCATTGGTAGAGTAAGAAGAAGGCCAAATCAAACAAACAAAATATCAATGGCCATAAAAGCACCTTGTGACGTAAGTAAGAAAAGACTTCTGTTTTAGTTATTTTTAAGTAGACTTGCAGTATCTGACGAATTCCCATCAGCAATCACATCCACTAACTCTCTATCACTTTTGTTGGAATATGTTGGCAACTTATGACGTGATTGATCTTGCTCCTTCACAGCAAGTTTGTGTCGAACATGGGCGTAGGCCATGGAACCACCAACAACCATTGCATTACCCAGCCACCAGAGGAAAGATTTGAGGTGCATTGAAATGAGTGCGGCGATAATTGTTTGCACGGCGGCTTTCGCAGTGCCTGATATGTTGTGAGTCAGAGGACTAGTCACTTGGATCTGCCAAGTTGTCACGTAGCTGATGCCGAAACCGAACACACCACTCAACAGCATCATACTCCAGAAGAATATGCCGATGGTGCTAAATGAATGAAAAAATCTTGATTCTACAACTTGAATAAAATGCCAGTGGAAAGTATTAACGCGCCTAATTTCGGACAAAGCGAAAGCATTCTTTATGACAAATAAGAAAAGCAGAAATGGGGCTCCATTACGAGGCCATTTGATGCACTTAATTTAAAGGAAATTATAATAATGCAGAAAGGAGCCAAGACAATAATCCAACCATTTTAGAGCAAGATAATGAGAACGACACTGCATTGGTCCTCCAAGTAAAATGGGTTCAAAATGTGAATGCAATTGGAGTTAAAAAATAGTGGCGAATTTAGTAAAACACAGGACAGTGATCTAAATAGATGAATAAAATCGAATTGTCAATTAAATAGCTAGAAAGAGTCTTTGATTCAGAATAATAACGATATATATATATATATTTCCATCTGATAGAGGGAAAGGCTGCCGAATTACTCGAAGGAATGAATCTCCTAAACTTCATTAAGGAAAAAAGAGGACTTAAATAGGAGAACGACAGTTCTGTGCAGAAATGCCAATGACCAACAAAAGTTGCCATCTGTCATGCATTCTAACCAGGTAGGATCACACTAATACGAGGATGAGTCAAAAAGTTATCAGACAAATTCCATAATTTATTCATTTAACAAATAACTACATTCACTTTTCTACTTAGGCTCCATTGTTGTCTAGGCACCTTTGCAATCTATAAGTCTACCGGCAAATTCCCTCATGATAGAATTTGGGAACTTTCTGACACCATGAAATTACATGCCTTTTCGCTTCATCTAAAGACTTAAATCGGATGCCGTTAAGGTATTCCTTCAACGTTGGAAACAAAAAAGTCTCCGATAGCACAGCACTTAAAAAATTATCCCCATTTAACTCCACCTTTGCCACCTCATAGGGTGTGCGATAGACTTACCTCCACGTGGTGCACCCTGGGCAACGTATATTCATACGGCAAAAAAGTCTATTAACTGGCAATTGACTTCCCACTTCAAACTACCACCACCTCACTCTATGCCATATTCGACTATTTTCACAGTACTCTTCTTACCTTTGAAACACTCTTCTGTCCCCAGCCCCCTCTCAACTTTTTCCAATTTGATGTTCCTCTCCCTCTGTGAAGCCTGAAGCCAACTAAAGGGCTAATGATAACCATCAAGACGCCTGCCATTTGATATAAATAAATAAATAAAGTTCAGCTCATTGG